CTCATATTGTGATATCATTGGTAATTAAAGAGAGAGCAGATTGAGTAAATGTATTATAAAAAGAAGTCGAGTAGCAATTTTCCTTTCTAAAAGCCAAGTTCTTTATTATTTCAATACATACAAACTTTCTAATAAAGTTTTATGTACAAAGCAAACGGTCATTAAACCAACCTATAGTAGGAAAATTGAAAGTGAGCAACCGCCGTGGAATGTTGGCTTTGAGCCTGTGATTAAATTAGAATTTAAATTTGAATTCAGAACTATTCACTCACGTCAAATGTTGTCAGTAGTCGACGTATAACTCCAATACGCATTTTACTGCACGCTCGTGTAGCAGAGTTTGAATTGATCCTAACAAAAAGAATAGCCAACACGACAAGAAAAATGACCAAAACACCAGCCACAATTGCACCAATAGTCAGGGGCGGATCTAGGCCATGGCGAAAGTGGCTTGAGCCACGGTCAGAATTCTGCCACTTAAGTTTTTCCAGGGTTGACTTTTTCATGATTAAAAATTTTGCTCAAATACAGCAAAATTCGATCAAAAGCAAAAATTGAATGAATTTTGTAATTTTTTGTCAAAAATTTGTGTTAACAGAACAAAAACTTCTTGTTAATAAATTAAACGTCTTGTTAAAATAGTATTATCATCCAGTTAAACTCTGAACTGTAAAATCACCGAAAGCGTCTCGAATCTTGCCGAATACGCCATGAATATGCTCGGAATATGTTCGTAAATTAGAGCCTGCAATCTCAGAATGAAAAGCCACGGTCAGCGTTCAAAAAATTTCGCAATATTTGCTAAATATAGTAACCTTCAGCCCATTGAGCTCTATAAGACCTGGAGGGGAAACGTCAACAAAATTACTATAAATTATCAGCGCGCGGCCGCGTGGTCAAAAACATGGCGGATTTTGGTTGTCAAAGTCAGCGGAAAGACGCGGGCTCATAAAATGAAATTTTTTTCGCCCACCCGGATTTGACAACCACAATAGCGATTATATAAAATATCAATGCCAAACACAAAAACTTTTAGAAATTTTATCTTTAAAACATGTTGCAAACTTGTTTGGTAGACGGATGCTGAAGTAATGCCAGAAAAGGAAACATTTCATGATACCGGTAAGCAACGTAAGATTGTTTACCATTTAAAGTGTTCAGTGTTTTGTTTTAAGTCAATACTTGAAGTGTGATTGTAAATATTTTGTGAATGTTTTTACTCCTAAGTTATAATTTAAGTTATGTTTATCCATTCTTATTTGTTCTTTACTTAATCGCTTGCTAGACGAGGCAAAGCAACCAGTTCTTATCGAGATATGCATATCTTAAAACTCCTTGTTTCAACTGAGTTGAAATGGAGGATTTTTTCATGATATTTTTCTGAAAATATGAAGCAAATATTAAGGACAGAGCTGTATTGAAATCAAATGCAGTGCAAGATTAATTAATGAGCTCTTTGGGACATGTCGTACAATAAAAAATACCTGTATTAAACAGCTAGCCTGGACAATTTGACAGATTATGGACAATCATGATGATGGTGTGTAATGGTTTGCTTTATGCTAAAAGTTTTATGAATGCCATCTGGTGTTTCTGTAAATAAATTGTTTGTTACACAGTGTAGTAAACAGGTTAGTACATCAAAATCAAGATAAAAACTACTTTGTTCAATAATGTGCCAAATTTTGCTCCTACCTTGAAATATTTGCTCAAGCAAAGCTTATCATGACATGCATGAAACATTAAATACAGTACTGCATCATCTGACAAAGTCCATATGTTTTTCAATTCCAGGTGATTAAAAATTCACATAAGATGCATTGGTTGCAATGAAGTTGAATGTGGAAGAAGCAAAAATTGATGACAAAGAACTTTTTATGTCTTTTGAAGAATTACGATATCATTTAAAAGAATAAGAGTAGCAATCTAGTCAAAGAAGCCACATCGGCCTTCAACATGAGACTTTTCCAATTATGTATAGTTATTTTGTACAAAATACTATTTTAGATAAACTTGATTTTTAAGTCATTTACTGATATTTTTACCAAAAGACAAAAAGAAAAATTCCAAGGCATAATGTAAAATTCAAAAATTTGTCAAGTTGTTTGAACCTAGAAAAAATTAGTATAGGTAACTGTAATTTGTAAGGACACAAGAGAAAAGTAGTGCAAGAAGGTTAGCATTTTTGAGAATTAATAAGTTCTTGACATACATTACACAAGGCCATAATATTATAAATAATGTCTGTATAATAACAATTATACAACATGCTAAATATCTTCACCTACATTATAATTATTTAAACAGGTTTGCCTTCATGCAGCAATAAGAAAAGTGTTATGTCAGAGAAACCAATGCACTTTAATTTAAAAAATCGTATTTTCAATGGGAAATTAATGTAGTTCTGTTCAATAGTAGATCCATGGTTGTCAATGACAATCCAGTTACTAATATCTTGGCTCAAAACAGAACCAGCAACATGATTATAGAATTTTTGAATTTTGTTCTTTTGCTCTCCTAGTTCGAGATATTTTCTTCATAAGTTCTCAGTAGATTTATCAGAATATCATAATACCTTATAAGACACCCAGAATCAATCCTACCAAAAAAAACTCAAAAAAAAATACATACCTACTTATAATATATTTCCAGTCGACTTAAGTCGTAGGGGTAAGCTAACTTTTTCTAACTCCTTTTGGACATTTTAACTAATATTTACCCATCTATTCAAGAAAGACAGTTGCACGAAGCTGTTAAAAATAGTCAAAACACAAGTATTGCGCATGGGATTATGCATTAAAGCTTAACGACACATTGACAGTGTAAAGAATGCCGTTTGATATTTATTTCTAACATAGCTAAAGCATTACTTGACAACATATACGCTATTATATTTGATTTACCTCATTTAAATGTGTGTGTCTATTTCACAAAATCTGAAGCATTATTTTCAATATTTTATGCTTACGGTATCGTGGTTGTTTTCGCTGGTTGTCATTGATATAAGCAGTAATAGAGTTCCGGATTCGGGAGGGAGCGAATGTTAAAAATTTTTCTCAAAGTGGAAGTTTTGACAACCAAAATCCGCCATTACCGCCATGTTTTTGACCACGGGGTCCAGGCCCCTTTGCCCCTCCAGTTCTTATAGAGCTCAATGCTTCAGCCACGGTGCAGCGTTGCAAAGAAATCACAGGAAACGTTTTGGTCATGTGCGCCACGGTGAGCCACGGTGAATGTATTTTGATTGCGCAATAAATACAAGTCATATGCAATAGCTCGATTCTTGTCGACTTGCAAAAACGCTACTTCTAGTTCTACTCAGTGATTAGGATCAATGGAAACTTCTAAAAAGATCGATTTTCTTGAAAAGCTCGTCCAAACCTTTCAGCAAGAGAACGCTTGCGAAATTATTTCTGGTGAATTGTCTAACTTGAGGCAACACTTTGGTAAAATAATCAACGAGGAAAGGCTTCGTCGTATAAATTCTACTGGCGATATTATGCTACGAACTTGTTCATTTTCAAAACTGCTGTTCCCTGAAAGCCAAATTGAAAGATCAGGACCCAATGTCCCTGTTAGGTAAGAATTTACATGTATTGGGGTATTAATTTATATTTTAATTTACGTTTGACATCTTGGCCTGAAATATATGATCAATCCGTTAATTTTCAGCTATTCATACTTAGTGTATCATGTAAAATATATGTCTAAAGCTGTCATTATTTTGCATACTCAGTCTGTCTAATGTACGGCCTAAATAATTTTAATTGTTACTGTCTGTTAAAAAAAAATGTTTTACTTCAATATTAGTCAAAGCTAGTCCTTTTTAAAACACAATCAATAATGTATTATCCTTGTCTTCCTGGCATTTTATGTTATCCCCTGGTTAAAGAAACTAACATATCATTTTGAATAACTGTTACTTTCTTTCGCGATTTATATAGAATATTGATGCTATAGTAGATGGAATAAATAAGTCGTCTGAATCCTGTTCGACATGCCTAGACTAGTTCCAAATCTTAGACTATCTGCCTGTGACTTTGACTCTATCATGATGTTACCAAATTAACATAAAGAGAAAATAACTTTCTCAATTTCAATATTATTAGTCTATCTTTAACAGTATTGGTTACCCTTATTTATTCTAATGTCAGAGTCAGTCTAGCAGATTTGTTTCCAGGTAGAACTTGGTATAACAAAGCAGCCATTGATACTTAAATACTAATTTTTCTTTTAGCACTTTAGCCAATGGGAATTGTCTGTTCAATGCATGTTCTATTGCATTAGTTGGGAATGAGACTCTCTCTATTTACTTGAGATTCCTAACTAGTTTTGAAATGTTTGAGAATGCAAATACTATTCTACCCATCCTCTCATCGAGTCCCAGCATAAAAATGGTGCATTCACTTCACTTAAAAATGCCTTTGCCATGTTTATATCCGATGCAGCTCTAACCTCTTTAGAAAATGTGAATGAAATTGCAGCAGTTTTACAAGAAGAAGTGGAAACAGCAAATAATTACACCTTTTCACCCTTGATGTGTATGTTTTCTTTGTCCACTGTAATCCAGTGTGCTATTCAGTGATACTACCCAATTACTAATGATGCTGAAGTGAAAGGAAATTGGGATTTGTTGGCTAAAATGTTCAATTGTACATTATAATCAAAGATTTTGTTGATGGAGTGCAATTGACTATGTCCATATCTTTCGTTGTGCTGCGATGCCACCTTCTTATTTGGTAGATCAAAAATCCCATCCACCAAAATCATTTTGTTACTTTGTTTTAGAGGACCACCTTTGAACATTGCTTTTATTAATCTTGCCATCTTTACGGTTCTTGGATAAACATCTTTGTTGCTGTTGGAAGAAGATCACCTTTGAACATTGCTTTTATTAATCTTGCCAACTTTAGATTATTGGATAAACATCTTTGCTGCTGTTGGAAGAAGACTGCCTTTGAACATTGCTTTTATTAATCTTGCAATCTTCGATTGTTGGATAAACATCTTTGCTGTTGTTGGAAGAAGACCACCTTTGAACATTGCATTCATTAGTCTTGCCATCTTTATGGCTGTTACAAAAGGCATCCTTGCTGCTTTTCGAAAAAGACCATTTGATGGGGCAACAAAGATGGGAAATTATTTTTTTTAGTAGTGAACTGTCTTTTGGTTATTCACTGCAAAAATTACATGCTTCATCTTTATCTCACTCCTGCGGCAACAATCCTGTGATTACAGAAAGGTACGGAAACTGCGTTGATTTTATATCAGACGCCACAAGGTAAGTAAAATTTTTATTCTTCTATCCGAACAGAATTAAAAAAATGGCGATATTAGAAATTTTTTTAGATGAGATTATATCGAAAGTATTGTTATATTCTACATTAAAAATGCCGGAATTCGCTTTTCCAAGAGTCTAGATTTCAAAATTTTCTGGGGGAGCATGCCCCCAAACCCCCATAGCGTTGGCTCGCGCCGAAGCTCGCTACAACACAGGTCAGCCAGAAGCTGGATCCGCCCCTGATAGTAGCTCCAGCATTTCCACTGTCTATACGATAAAAATGAATGACGAAGAAAAACATAAAAACATTAAGTATACAAATGATGAACAAAAAAAGTAACTCATGCTGCTCATCTATAAACAATACATGGGTACATAAAGGTATCAATAGGTTACTTGATAATACATAACGTGTGGAAATGTTTTACTTGGTGGTTAGTCTGTTTATTATCTTTACAACTAAAAACTTATACATTATAACTTATGCCTTCCATCATCACAATGAATGATTCCAAAAACATAAGCCGAGTTCTTTTAAATTATCTCACAAATAAATACGTGCAACGGCAAACCATTTGCCAGATTTGAGTCTTATGGAAACTTACAAGCAGAAATATAAATCTTTTGATAAAAAGCACCAAATGATGTTGAACTTTTAAATCCTGAAAAATGGATGGAGGGAATAGCAAACAAAGCCATCATTTGTTGTTCTGGACCACACCATTATTTTTGCTATTTCTAAAAATTTATTTTTTTAAATTGCTTTGTCAAAGTTATGATTAAGAATCCTGAACATTAAATTTTAATTTGCTTTTTTTTCAAAAGTCAATTTTGTGATTTTACACATCTCTTCAAATTTGAAAAGTTGTAAAGCCACAAAAATCCTTTTCTATCGGGGCAACATTTTTGTCCAACAAACCCTGCAGTTTTTTTACACAGTACGTGTTATAAGTCACATATAAGGTGTAAATTTTATAAACTGCATGTTGTTTGTCATAAATTTTCCTTTTTACAAAGTACGTGTTGTTATAGTTAAAGGGGAACTCCACCCTCACACAATGTTGGTCTTTAAACTTTGTCTGTCCCGTGAAAATGAATATGCGGCAATTTTTTTGTTTGTTTGATTCAATATTTTCACAAAAAATGAGTTGAAATGCTGCAGCTAGGGCATCCGGTGCGTGGGAGCGGAATATGTCAGCGGCTTGTATTTGACGTCATATCGTCAATTGCTGCTCAAAGCTCTATGTAAAGTCAATGCACAGACATAACAAACTTGCGTCAAAATGCTTCTAATCAAAAAATGTTTAGTCAGAATTTTTTATTCATAGGTATATACACAATCAACTTTTATAGCTTACATGCAAGTATTGAGCTAGTTATTTGTATTCTGTTTTAATAGAACGATTTCACATCTATAAAGGCCATTATCGCACAGTTTCCGCACTACATATAGATTTTGAATGTCGATTAATATTATTTTTTAAAAAAATACGAAGGATTATTAGTGTGGAAACTGTGCTGTAATGCCGTTTGCTTCGTTTGCTTGTCCTCCGAATTCAATCTTAACAACAGTTTCCACTGATGTGAAACCAGTCTATTGCCATGAATAACATTGAATAATAATAAAACATGGTTACGTAATTTAGATTCATTATGGTTAGAAAATAATCCTACATAAAACCATTGTAAAATCAGCCTTTCGTGCATAGAATTTAGGTGTAGTTTCCTTGACGTAAAGTATGAACTTATAGTTTCCTAATTATTTGTACATAATTTCCCTTTTTCAAGTCACATTTGGGACAAAAATTGCCAGTGCTATGAAAAACAAACACCCTCATATTGATGTGTGGCATTTGTCTAAATCTGTCACAAAAAAAAATAACAAAGTCTAACATTAAGGGAAATGATGAGTTGACCCATTGGATTAAGTCCATTTCTAATCATCTTTGGTGGTGCTCTGCAAGTTGTAACAAGAATGCAGAAGAATTGGTGGAAAATTAGAAGTCTATCTTTAACCAATAACAAGCATTTCTGGAGAGGGAACACATATTTTCATCAATGTTGCCACCAACAATTAACAGAAAGAGAAACAAGCAGAAAAAGTTGTTATCTCCTACTTCACAAGCATATATTGCTTCAGAGAAGGTGATTTGTGACAAGAGGCTTCTAAAAGACCTGTGGAAGCTATCTGAGTTTTGTCACACAGGAGAGTTGGAGGTTTACCATTCCCTTTACTGAAATACTGCCCAAAGCGAGGGCATTTTTCATTTCCTGGAATGGTAGCCCGCACTCAGTTAGCAGCATTAGATCACAACAACAATATTAACCGTGATAAAGCAGTCATTATTCAGGCACAAACTAAGGGCAAGACCGTTACAAAATGATTTTGCTAAAACAAAGAAGCAATGGGTTGTAAAAGCAATGAAAGAAAAGAAAGAGTACCAGTACGTTGATAAACTACTTGCCGAGGTTGTGAATGCATGCAAAACTGAGGAGATTGAACTTGTACATCATGGCGAGAATCTTCCAAAGAACATTTCTAAATCATGTCCAACCAGGAAAGAAGTACTTGTAAAGAAACATCAGTCTAGATTTGCATAAAATGTCAGTGGTAATGCAAGGTTTTGCCATGCCCATATAATATGATGTTGAATCAGGGAAGACAACTTTTGTACATTCATTCTTAAATATTAACATAGCAAAACCAACATAGTGGAAGCCTTCAAATTGAAATTCCTCTGCCGGGCCAGGTGGAGGAAATGTTTCTCTAATGCAAGTAACTGCACATGATAGCAAGACGACTCTTACTTCTCTACCCAAGATACCCCAGCACCATCTTGTCAACTGTCTATATGCAATATGGCGGTACAGTTTGTCTTCGGGCCATCATATGCTACCTCATATTGCTGCTTGTACAGGTACCAAGCTGTTTGTAAAACCCACCTGTTAAGACAAACCGACTCAAAACCAGGATGTTGTGTAATGCACAAAGGGATTTCGGTGGTCTCATTCGTTTCTACTGCCTCTACATTTTTGTCAACAAATATTGGAAATCTCTTTGCAGCATAAACATTTCTCGTTATTGTCCATTATTTGGCAGTTACCATATTGACACCTGAATATGTTAAAAGAAAGGATCTTGAAAAGTAATTGTCTAAATTTCAATAAAGATTGTATCTTACAATAAAAACTTAAAATCTGAAGTATTATGTGTGTGTGGACGTGGTCAACGTCAAAAACTGAAAACTTTCTTTCGAGATCTAAAGAATGGTCTAGAATAATATAACATTTTATTGCTCACCATTCAAGATCGTCGCGCCGAGGTTCATCCTCAATATACACAAATTCCTGTTCTTCGTTGTCCTTAAACTGGTGAGCTTCTTTGTGTTTATCAGCCGGCCATTCGGGCTCAAACTGACTGACCTGTTAAGACAAACCGACTCAAAACCAGGATGTTGTGTAATGCACAAAGGGATTTCGGTGGTTTCATTCGTTTCTACTGCCTCTACATTTTTGTCAACAAATATTGGAAATCTCTTTGCAGCATAAACATTTCTCGTTATTGTCCATTATTTGGCAGTTACCATATTGACACCAGAATATGTTAAAAGAAAGGATCTTGAAAAGTAAATGTCTAAATTTCAATAAAGATTGTATCTTACAATAAAAACTTAAAATCTGAAGTATTATGTGTGTGTGGACGTGGTCAACGTCAAAAACTGAAAACTTTCTTTCGAGATCTAAAGAATGGTCTAGAATAATATAACATTTTATTACTCACCATTCAAGATCGTCGCGCCGAGGTTCATCCTCAATATACACAAATTCCTGTTCTTCGTTGTCCTTAAACTGGTGAGCTTCTTTGTGTTTATCAGCCGGCCATTCGGGCTCAAACTGATATGGCCGAATATTGTTTGCTGGATTGTCTTCCATTTCACTATCGATTGGTGAATTAGGCCGAGGTTCTTCCAAAAAAGCCATTAAAAGCGATTATTTTTTGTGCAAGGCTGTGCGTTATTATTTTACTTTGTTGTTAACACAACTCCAAATCGGTTTGACGATATGACGTCAAAATAATTTCCGCTGACGCTTTCTTTGCCCACGCTGCTAAACCTCAAAACAGCTCAAATAGCGCACTTGAAGACGCGATTTTGTCAAAACTAAAATAGCTGATGTAAAAATTTCAAAATATAGTAACCTTTGCATAAAAATGGAACTTTTAAGACCAACATTATGTGAGGGTGGAGTTCCCCTTCAAAAATACCTATTTATCAAACAATTTCCGTAAACGGTAAACAACTTACATCCATTTATTTTTTTTTTTTATAAACACGAACAAAATACTTTGCATTTGCTTTTAAATAGTTTATATCTAAATGCTGTTCCTCGATGGTATAGTTCATTAAACACATTTCATTCTCGCAATGTGTAATACAAACAGTGTAACTGACTATCTTTCCGTTTCTTTTGTTCTTATGAGGTGGCTTCTACGAGACTATTAGAGAGTTTACGAAACTTCACATTTTGACGACGACGCCGGGAGTTAATGCTAGTGCGCATGCTTCTTAACATTTTGGCTGCTTCCTTTGGCGACGACGCCGTGAAATCGTCTTCTTTGGACGCGTCCTGCATGTTCAAGATGGCGGATGAACATCAAAACACAAAAAGGTAGGAATCGAACAGTTTTAATTGTTTAAAGCCTTTTTTAGCAATAAGTTATTGTTATGTTCAGTTTGTACTGAGATAAGGGTAAATTATTTAACACACAGAGTACTAAATCGATTGTTTTTCAAATATTACAACTCAACTAATATTTTATTATATTTTTATATACACGAAATATTATATATTTATAATTAGTTTATTTGTTTCGTTTCCTTTGCATTCTTAATTATTTTTGTAATTTTAGCAAAAAAGCAATGACTTGGACAAATGAATATAATGAAATTCTAGTTCGTGAAATGTATTTATTCCAACCATGGAACTTCAAAAAAGGATCACAGCAACGAGGTAATGCATGGGAAATGATCAGTGATTCCTTAAATGATATGGATAGCCCAAGGTTTAACGTGACGCAAAAGTCTGTTCGAGACCACTACACTTTACTTCAAAAGCAACAAAAGAAAAGATTAAGAGAGGAGGAAAAAGCTTCTGGGATCTCTCCAGAGCCATCTGCAGTAGAAACTTCCATTGACGAAATTATTCAATTGTTCAGAAATAGAGATGAAGAAGAGAAAATTTTGGAAAAGAAACAAAAACAAAACTCTGTTGCAGAAGTAGAAAAGGCTGTGGAAATGAGACAACAGTCAATGGAAACATTAGCTGAAACTTACAAAAGAAAATCTCAAAGTAAAGATGGTGAAAAACCTAAAGAAGAATGTCATCCAATGGAACTGAAATCATTGCCTATTTACAACAAAAGTCAAGAGTTGATGCAGAACTTAAAAGAGAAGAATTGATGTTGAAAAAAGCTGAAGCTGATGAAAGAAAACAACAACAAAACAACATCATTTCTCAACAGGAAGCTCTCACTAAAGCATCAACTGCAAATTCAAAACACTGCTTTACTAACATTGATGCAGAATATTGTTAAAAAAGACTGAAATGTTTTATTAAAACAGTGCATATATTTTTACTTGAGAGTAGACCAAACTTTTTTCACATACATAATTTACTGTTATTGATATTATAAATGAAACATTCATAAAGTTATCCATAACAAGAGTATATTTGAGAGATGTTAAAAAATGTTCCTGATGACTTAACTCTGTCCATTAAACAATTAGTCAACTTGATAAAATTGAATATTTTTGAACTTTTTACACAAAATATTCATGTATAGATGGAGGTTGAAGTTCAAAAAACTGTGAGGTTGTAGACCCATAAAAACAGCATCTTGCATTATGAAGTAAGGTACAACAAGTGTACATTTTCCCTACTGCACTAAGTTGTATTTTTAGGTTCTTTTTGAAGTCAAGAAATTTAAAATAATTAACTATGTCCCCAAAAATCCATTCGACAGACACTCTTACACTGCTCATTGCTTTGTTCCATTGTTGTTGTTGAGGAGTTATTCTTGCTCCTTTAAATGGGCATTGTAGTTGAGGTCGATGAGGATAAGCAGGGTCACCATAAATGCAAACAGGAGTTTCGTTGCTCAAATGATCCAGCTGCTGAAGCTTATTATATAAACTGGATTGGGCAAGCATTGCGCTGTCATGGCGTCTACCCTCCACAGGACCAAAGAGATTAGCCACAAGACCATTTGGAACAGCAACTGACTGAAATTTTATGGCATGAACTCTTTTATGGCCATTATAAAGAACTCTTTGATTTTGACCAGATTTAGAAATTGGACGTACTGTCCCATCGACAAAACCAAAATAATTTTCTAAGGCACCACTCTTCTGAAACACTGCATTACAAAATTCTTGAATGTTGCCTGAAGATAACCATGGTTGATCAAATGTTAACAGCAAGCGGTTCCACTCCATGTATAAAAAATTTATGACAGCATTACTGATCATACAGAGTTGAGGGACTGGTCTACCAAATCTTGGCAACATATCCAGGTATCGACAAGGGTAGGCAAAACGTTTCAAAAATATGCACAATGCCTCAACTCTATCAACCTTAAGGCCGTTGTAACATGTAATAAATTGTGGTAGCCTCAAAGCATCCACAAGAGTATAAATGTGTGATTTCATAAACCGAAATTCTGCTTTACACTCGTCGTCGCTTAATTTATCTAAATCAAACTCTTCGTATTTCCAATAAGGCAAATCCGGACTTTTAGCAGTATATAAGTTGAAAAGCAAAATAAAGTCTTCGTCGTCGATTGATTGATCCGAATAAGACATAAAAAGACGCTCTCGAATTGCTCTCCACTTCGGCATTTTTTGTTTTTGAATTTTTTTGAAAGCAATGTTTTCTGATTTTATTCCCGCCAATTATTTTTCCGCTGAGGCGACGTTGTAAATTTGCGTAAACTAAAAATACGCTTGCGCCGGCGTTGTGAAACACAAGACGTCGCCGTCGCGAAAAACAGTGGAACGTAAACTCTCTATTAACGAAGTAATGACGGGGACAATTTCAACATTTAAAGGTGGACCTTCGGGAACTAAACAAAAGTGAAAACGCATTTTTTATAGATTTATGCTAAACGGTCAACTTTAAATAGAAATTCTAGCCAGTGTACTCTATCATTGCTAATTTAATTAAAGGGACAGTATAGAAAAACATGATTGATACAAGTGCCGACCAGCACACGATTTGAGCTTTCAAGATTCGTCCACGACAAAAGTAGTTTCTTTCTTATAGCACAATTAATGCAATCACAGCCGTAATGAATACACATAAAGTAATATTAGCTCACCATATTCAGCAGTTCTAAAACTAGCTGTAGTTGATCTACCAACTCCTTCAGAGTTGCCAGCGGTTACATTTATCATATACGTTGTGTAAGGGAAAAGATTCTCTAATTTGTAAGTTTTTTTAGAGTTGCTTCCCAAGTTTTCTTAAAAACAACGACAGTATCCTTCAGCACTATTAATCGAACTTTAGTCAGAGGATTCAGGACATTTGTGCCAAGATTATCACCAGAGTTTGTGGGATCTTTTCAAGATATCTTGTGGTATCTTGATGAGACTTTGGTTGCAGTAAGATGTGTTGGTTTGTCTGGGAGCAAGTCTGTGTGATAACAAAAAAAGTATAAAATTTTATCCGATGTAGCCTTTATATGAAATCAGTATTCTTTTTTTTCTACATTAACAAGGGTTAAACTTAACTGTTGAAAAAATCTTGCTTAAATAAAGCTTTTTCAACAGAGAAAATAAGTAACACTGCAGCCGTTAGCGAATAAACGAATTTAAAAAAAGTTTTATTATAAAGGATTATTTAAATTGAAACGAAGCTTTCTTTACTTTCTTGTCCTCGCTGTTTTGTAAAAGTTGGCATTCACTTCTGTTTTCTTTTTGTTTTCAAAACTTTTGATGTTTGCTTTTCAATATTTGTTTAGATTTGTAAAATTACCCGTAATGAACCCCGGTTTCAATTGTTACTAATCAAAGACTGCATATGGTCATTGTCCACATTATGTCATTAACAGCATATGTAATAACATGGTTGCCACGAGATCTTTTGTTATCACATAGACGTTTACTGACGTATTTCCTCATCATAATATTCACTAGGGACGTTTAGACTAAATATCCCTAATGCATGAATAATAAAACAAAACGCCAATTCTTGGATTGCATCCAATCTTCAAGGAATTATGAAACAATGTGACCCACCCACGTCGGGTGGTGTCAACAATGGCTTTGATAATATGTTCTCTTGTATTTGACCATCAACATGGTGGCGTGACGTAACATGCAATCCACCTATATTATTTTCAAATTCTATGTCGTCATGTAAGATTTGCTTCGGATTGCATCTTCATTTTTCCACAGCTTGATCATTTTCAATTCTGCTCAATGAAAAAGGTTAACAGCTTGATATGTTAAGCATGTCCCGTGAAACCAAAATAATTCCAGGGCAAGTTTACTAAGTTGAAAGTCCTTTCGCTCGACTGTTTTTACGTCGTTAATTCTTCAGATTGAAACACGAGTAATTTTTCCATATTATTCAAAATCACTATACTTGAAGCATTACAAACCTTTGTGCCTCATAATTTATGTCGTTGAGTAAGAACAGAAATCGTCTTTCCCTTGCATCAGAAACTTTTTTGTTTCAAGCTAACAGTTAGCTCAGCTAACTTGGGCAAACCAGTGATCAAACATCAATAACTTTAACAATGATTAAACTACAGTATATGTAATTGCAAAGCAAATTGTACATAGCTTCACTCATCCAATTCAAAAACAGAATTCACAATTGAGTAGCTAGATGAATAGTTTATTCCATTGCTGACCATGAACAATGTATGCTTCAAACATCGATTATTGTCAATATTGGAAAAGGTGAGCTCAAAATTGGATATGTCATTGTCAAACATAAGAGTCTAATGAATTGATTATTCCCTTCGCAAGCTTGTTATAACAAAGTAAACGCATGCTTTCCTGGATATTAGTGATTAAATGTTCTCTTAAGCCTTAAGAGGCTTAGAAAAATTCCGTCAGGGTGCGCCGTTCTTTTCGGCTCGGCTTGTTGGACATTTCATAACTTATGTCCCTGAAAGCATGCGTTTAGAAAATAATAAAAAGCATTAAATACAAACAATACAAAATTAATATATTTCATATTGTATGAATTGATCCTACATAAGTTGGCAAAAGTTATAACTAGTGCTATAATTAGTTTAGCAGGGAGATATGTTTGAAAAGAGTTGCAAAAAAATATTAAAAATTGACTGAGTCAACTCCATTTACTACAACTCCTTATTTATTAAGTCAGTTAAATTCACGTGATGACAGTATGTACGACTATATCACGAGAAGTACTATGGAACGATTTTTGAGGTAGAAAAAAATTGTGTTGTTATATCATCTACTTTAGCTACCTAAACAGATCCTTGGTAAGAGCTACCATAGTAATTCAGTTTACTCATAGTAAGTTAGAATATTCTGATGATTCCAAAATACAATCCTCTTCTACAATGACAAATCGTACATCCAGTGCCTACGTATACACACAAGTCTAATATTGTGATACTCATTGATAATAACCAATTAGACAGATTGAGTAAACACATTGTAATATGAAGTTGAGTTGTGATTTTCCTTTCTAAAAGCTAAGTTCTTTATTACTTCTATACAATTTACAATCATTCTTAAATAAGTTTGATGAACAAAGCAAACGGTTGTTAAACTAACCTATAGATTGAGACATGAAAGTGAGTAGTTGCCATAGTGTGACTGCTTTGATCAAGTAATTAATTTAATATTGAATTTAAAATAAGAACTATTCTTGTCTTGCAACTAAGATTTACTTAAGAATTTTTCTCGCCCACATCGACTGGTGCCAACAATAACACTGATGAAATATTCTTTTCTATCATACCACCAACATGGCTGAATTGTAAGTCAAGAATTCACTCTTATTAAATGTTGTCAGTAGTCGTCGAACAACTTCAATACGCATTTTACCGCACGTTCGAGTACAAGAGTTTAGATTGATCCTAACGAAGAGCAAATACAGGGGCGGATCTAGAGTATGTCAAATCCGTCGCGCGACTGATGTTTGAAATTCAAAAATTACCTATTCATATTAATTAAAAATCATTAATTATTCTTATTTTCTTATCGCATTTACTTCGTGATAAAAATCCCGCATTATTTATTATTGAAAACTAATGACTAATCCAATGAATATCTCGTTGGTAACCAGATCAGTTGAATTTTAATTGACCTGGAATAACCGACTGATAAGCGGGGTGGCTTGACTGGTTCGACGGATAAAGGAGTCTATGAACGTCAAAAACGCTTATTTTATTGGTCAATAGCCAGATCAGTGGACAGTCTGGAATGGTCTCGACTGATAATAAGGGTGGCCGGACGTATAAGGGAGTCCAATTGCTATCTTACAATTGGTTCATTTGAATTTTGCTTTATTGTGATTGGTTTGACGGATTTCGACTGATAGCCAACTGAACTAACATAGTCAAGCTCACTGTCTGAATTGAATGTTTGATCGTTTTATAGTAATTTTATAAGCATGATAGAAACTAAACTACAATCAGATGGAATTTATGGAAATCTTTACAAATTCATATATTGACATGAATGCTGCTGTCCAAACTGTGAATTTTTCAAGAGGTGAAAAATTTATGGATAAATTTTAAATGCTTGGCAAAGACGATCTCGAGCGACATTTCAGTCATTGATGTTCAAAGAAAGCCAACATTGTTTTGAGTTTTATCAGCAGAAATTTACATCCAAAATCGTAAGTAAAGGACAAGTGAAGTGTATGCATGAATGTAATATATCAAAGTCAATTATGCGAGTGTGTGATGCGATTTATGTCAATATGGCGTATGGTAAGCAGATTGATGCTTCTAAAATTGTTGTTGACGAAGGACTTTTAGCTATGATTTCTTTAGTGCTTGGGAATCGTGGCCGTTATATGGCAGCGAAATCCTACATTCCTGCAAATATATTTCAATGGACAAAAATCTGTAGCCATAAGGCGCCATACTATTATTTACTTTATCATAAACAAATGTTTGGGGTTTTCAGTTTATGATCATTGATCATTCAATCATTGGACAGTTATACTACATATTGTTTAAGATTTGAGAAAACTAACATTGATTACATGAGAAGCTGTTTACTATAACCTGTGATTTTGAGTCTTCTGATCCATGAAGCTTTTATTTTGACAATTTGACTGGAATGGTATTAAACCTGAGTATTTCACATACATGAAATGTTGTCCCATGTCACATATTGTCCCCTTTTCTAACTGAACACCTCATGTAGAGATGTAAAGGTGTGTTAATCTACGGCTCATACCAGATTGTTTGCCATAAATTCCAAAGGGCTATTGATGTATGAAAAGCATTTTCTATAAAGTAAAAATGTCTTCTATGTATGCAGATAAACCTTGAAATTTGGCAAAACAGCAAAGTATTTTCATGATCACTAGGTAATTTTTCTGATGATCATTATAATTTCTAAACTAAATTATTTCAGATTTACATTTAAACAAGCTTTGATCATATGAAAAGATATTTATCATAACCAGTAAGCATGACACATGAACCAATTTTAACATTCATGTAATTATATAATTAAAGACATGTTGGTTACATTCTGTTTGTATTTGCAAATACAATGCTACTAGTGATTGCTATATAGCACACCTTGCATATACTTACAGGAGATAATAGTCTAGTGAAATGCCTAATAAACATTTATGGCATTAAGCTGTCCTTAACTGCAAATTTTCACTCTGATAATTTTGCTTAATCTTTGGCAGAAAAAAATTTTGAGTTTTTTCTCAAAGGTGAATTTGCTGGCACTGATGTGGAGATGGGTAAAGGGTTACAATAAACTTGCATGGTTTGAAGTCTGAGCTTTTCTATATCTATGAACTGTCACTTGTAGTACCAAATTTCTAACTAAACTCATTACATAGAGGTTTGAATGGGGGTCTCTAGGGGGGGCTATGCCTGACAACTTGGTAGAAATTTTAAAGACTATATCTGTTTTGAATAGCATTATTGTAAAATAAATTTTACGTTCCTAGACATGCTAATGAGCCATATATTTGGCATGATAATGAGCCTAAATATTTGGCAAAACATTCAAGTATTGTTCACTTCATTTTTTTTGAAAAAACGTAAGCAAAATGTGTTGTTTTACGCAAAAACGATGCCCACAAATACATTTTGTATTGCTCTAAAACGCTGAAAATGGCATTTTCAAGGCTCTGAAATTCAAAATTTCTCAGGGAGAATGCCTCAGACCCCCAGGTGCGGAGCGCCTTCGACGTTTATGACTGATGTTTGAAAATCCTAGATCCGCCCCTGAAATACGACAAGAATAAAATAACCAGGGCAACAACTTTACCAGTAAAAGCTCCATCATTTTTACCGCCTATAGTATAAAAATGAATGACAAAACAAACGTAATAAACAATAAGTCAACAGGAGGTGGAAAAAAAGCAGATGAACTATAAATAATTAACACGTGATTATTTGAAGACATCAATAGATTACTTGATATTACATGACGAAAACAAATTGTTTAACTCGGGTTCGTCTCCTCATATTCTTATGAAGTGAAAGCTCATATATCATAATCGTTGGTGTGTGTTACAACTAAAGAAAACTAATGAATCGGAGAAACTTGTGATATGGCAGGCTATATTTTTCATATCTAGAGTCTAGAGTCTCTGAATGATATTCTGTACTTCTGTATTTGTAACAAGTTGATATTTTACTCATAATTCAATCATAATTCGAACGCAAATATAAATTTTAACCGCGTTTAATGTTACGGAAGTTTGGTACCAACTACCGAGATCAATCTTTCGGTGGAAGTTCCAGGCATTGTTGAAAACAAGAGCGGTTAACAACAAACTATAGGAGAGAAGATGTGTTTGGCGATCATATGCATTTTTCTTGTAAAACCTTGTGTCGTTGCCTCTAACCCATTTCTTCTTTTTCGTTGATCTCTAGTCTACAGCCAAACACAATTCTCCTAGTACTCTTGCAATCAAATCATCTGAAAATTCAATTAACTCGATAACTTTGGATGAGTTTAAAATGAATATTATAATGGGGATAATAAGCAAAAACAGGAAAGGACAAGAACAGCAACATTATACTAACACTAACATAGTTGGTAACAAAGTAATCTCCATCGACTAAAAACTCCCTGTTTCCTACGTCAGGTAAATTAATGAGATGAAAGTGCGCACATTTCATACATATTCCACCAACTCCAAAACACATGAATGTATGAAATTCCCCCCCTCCCACTCTCATTAAAATAAATTACTGAGCATGCTACGCCAATGTTTGTTTGTAATTTAACTTTATTTCTTATTTAATGTATTTAGATGAAAAGTATTACAGCCGCTATCCTATTTCAAATATTGACTACATCCTTAGACTAAAAATTTGATGTTATGTTCCAAATTGTTTTCAAATACTGTTTAGAATCATTCACTCTCGTTCACTCTTATAGTTAAAAAGGAAATAAAATTTTATGCTTAATTATATTCTTTTATAGTACGCTAAATTTCAGAAAACGTCTAATAATTTCGCGAAAAAAATTCAACTTCCCCCATTTTTGAGAACTTTTAGTAGCCGTCGAATGACTACAATACGCAGTTCACTGCACGGTAGCAGAGTTTGAACTGATCCTAACAAAAAGAATGACCAATATGACAAGAATAATGACCAAAACAGCAGCTACAACTGCACCAGCAATAGCTCCAATGTTTCCAACGTCTACAAGATAAAAATGAATGACAAATCATAACATTACCAACAAATGTTGTCTTTCAGCGATCATTTTTGTAAAGCTGACGGTGTAACCGCTTTCACACCCCATGTATTCATCCCTGTTAACTATTCATGATTTATTTATGGTATAAATTAGGTTTGCAACGCAATAAAATTAGAGAAGAGGTACACAAAATTAATAAGACAGTTTTTTGTTGGAATTAAATCAGCTGTATTATTAAACAAAATCTATATTCATCCTTAAAAATTTTCAGGCATTTCACTCTACTGAAATTTGCAAAGATCTTGAATCATTGCACATGAGATATCGATAAAATTCCCTTATGCTATTGAAAGCAAACACAAACCTGAAGACTTGTGCTTTTGGGCAGTTGCTGCCACTGGACTCCAGTCAGTGGAATAATAATCACCCTGAAACAGAAGTTAACATTTATATTTGAATAAAAATTGCAACAATCAATGCTGATGAAAACGTAAATAAATGGTCGCACCTGATCATTTATGAAAACGCGCAGAAATATTTTGTAGCTAGTGCCAGGCTTTAGCGGGCCATTATAATAAGTTTCACCATTGGAACGCCGTGTTGTGTTTTCACCATCACCAAGTGTAAAATCAGGCTTAAAGTCTCTGCGAGAGACTACAACAGCAATATATGGCATTGGTTTTGTGGAAGATATGGCCTTAGAATAAGTCACTAAGTCTGTGTTGTTAAAGTTAAAAGGCAATCGCTTCTCTTCTGTGCCATTTTTCATCGCGACTACATAGAAATATCTGCAAATTGAAGGCAAAACATTTTTTAAAATACATGCATAATCTCTGCTTTTGTTAATCGTTAAAATATATGTTATGCATGTATCCGCACTGCCAGAGAAAAGCGACAAGTCATCAATTCTTTTCCAGAGAGATATTTAGACTACCTCGATCCCACATGAAACCAACTTTCCCATACTTAGCCATGAATCCGAAAAACTCAAAGAATACTTTTAAGTTCCTTTAAGTTTTTTTACAATAATTTGCTCTAGTAAAATACATAGTTACCGATATTCCAAAATTGGTTTTCGCAACAAATAAGTCAACGTATTTCCAATCTGTATGGTAGACAGTTCAGGTGCCACTAAATAAATAAACTTGAATAAATTTATCATCTTAAACAAAACCTGTGCATAAACCATAGACAACTTACATCCATTTGTAAATACCCATTTACCATTGCTGTAACATCCAGATCCCACTATTGTAGAAGCTAAAACACGAGCATAATATTTCCTCCCTGGTTTCACATTATTTATTTTCCAACGCAGTTCCTCGATCATATCCTTTTGGATCGTATACTTTGTTACACATTTGGAGATTTCATTCTCCAAATGTGTAATACAAACAGTGTAACTGACTATCTTTCCATTTGTTTTGTTCTTGTCTGGTGGCTCCCACGTAACTAATAACGATGTACTGCTTAAGGCGACAATTTGAACATTTAAAGGTGGACCTCCAGGAACTAAACAAAAATAAAACATATCTTTTAAAGATTTATGTAAACATTAAAAAGACTTTAGAAAGAAGTCCTAACAAGTGTACACTGTCATTGTTAACTTAAATATAATACAGTATAAGAAAAACATGATTGAAATAAATATCGACCAGAAAAGATTTGAGCTTTCAAAAGTCGTCTACGACAATAACACCATCAATGCAAATGGCAGTTGATATGTATACACAAAAACTGATATGAACTCACCATCTTCAGCAGTTCTAAAAGTAGCTGTAGTTGATCTACCAAAGCCTTCAGAATTGCCAGCAGTTACATTAACTTTATACGTTGCGTAAGGAACAAGATTCGTAATGTTGTACGGTTTTTTGTCAGTTACCTCCAAAGTTTTATCAAAAACAATCATAGTATCCTTCAGCAAAATCAATAGATAACTTGTAAGAGGATTCGAGATATTTGTACCAAGTTTTACACCAGTTTTTTTGGGATGTTTCCATGATATCTCAAGGTACGTCGATGCAGATTTGGTTGCAATGAGATCTGTTGGTTTGTCTGGGAGTAAGTCTGCACGATAAAAGAAAATTTACAAATTGAGCCATGTGTAGACCCTAAATGAAATCAGTGTTCTGCCTTTTCTTCAATAACACGTGTTAAACTTAATTGCATGTTGAAAAGGCTTGTTTCAATAAGTTTATTTCAACAGAGAAGGAAACTAACACTTCAGCTTTCATGGAAATTGTTCAGTTTTGTCAACTAACTAATGTTTAATTAATTTTCATAGAAAAAAACTTTATATATTGATTAATTAAGTGCTTACAGTGGGAAATAAACCTGGTATATTTTTTCCATCTCTTACCTCCCCCACAAACTTCAATTCGTAAACACGGTGCACCAACAAATTTCAATGGAAAGATTCGCAAAGCTTTGGATTTAAGGCCGCCAGAAATCTTTTCTATAGCGGCATCATTGTAACCAGTTTTGTTTCCTAGATAACTCTGGAATAAAACAAAAAAATTATTTTCGTGTATTTGCAGAGAAGGTTAGAGAAAAGCCAGGTTTGTTTAACGCAGTTCAGAGGAGAGTAGTTTATCCATTGTCTATGTATCTCTTCAAATCATGCACATAGCTACAATTTAAACTTTATAATCAAATTCAACAGTCCTTCGTAGTGCTATAGTGACCAAGACAATCAACACAGTGACGTATCTAGCCCACAAATTTGGTCGAGCTATACGTAAATTTCTCAGAGCTCACTTACTGTAAAAACTATAGATCTCTAAAGAAATGAATAAGTATAAGGATCTGAAATTTACACCACTGAATCAACATGTGCACACAAGCTTGTATATAAATAGCAGTTTAAAAGTTTGCTTAGTCTATAACTTCATTCCTTTTTTAAATTTCCCATTAAATTTATAATATATAAATTCGAAAATTCTACCGTTACCTTTTGGGATTTTTCAGATTTCCAGTTCACACCATCAATGTTTGTCTGCAAGTGATATTTAGTTACAAAGCTTGAACTTGAACTGTCTCCAAAGATTGCGATAACGTTAACTGTATAAAGACTTGGAAAATTCAGTTGAAGATAATGATTGTCATCAGCAGCAGGAGCACACCATGAACTACCACTTGATATTCTTGCTTTAGCAGCACTACGACTCTTTGGGAAGGCAGTAAACCAAGAATCTGGGAATTTTTCTGCGTTTTTTAATAGAGGATTATCACAAACATGACCTTAAATAGAAAAGGATTTTGTTGAAATGCATAACGCAATTAGAACTGGTTTGATTTGATAGAGAGCAATGGTGCGCTCCCATATTGTTCTCCATTCACGAAAAATTGGAAAAATTAAAAACTGTTTTCTGAAGAAAGAAAAAGAGCACAAGAAGTATTGGAGGAATACGACTGATTTTGCATGCTTTTATTAAATGAGATTAAATTCCAGTTGGAATCAAGCCAGCTATGACACGAAACCGTAAGTATCTTGTCAAATAACAACAATACGGTAGCGATTTGAATTCCATTAAAGAGTGAACGTCAATCATCGTGCAGAGCAATGACAATTGGACATTTTTTGAGCACGAAATGAAGTAGCAAGAGTAAAATTAATTTAATCCTCGGTATTCGCATTAATCCAGTTTTAATTATTTATTATTTAAGAATAGCAATCGTTATATTTTGTGAAGCTATATTTCTTTTGTTATGTAATAGAAGAATAGTGAAATTCTCCAAGTCAGCGTAAAATACACTGACACTACGATGTCAGATGTAAGTCTTGATGATAGAGGTAAGTCATGATGCTTAACAAAAGACATATGTAAGTTGAGAACACAAAAGTAGCACATTCATTCCTTAAATTCTTCGTTCAGAACTTTTTCTAACGTCATACAAATGTGTCCTGCGATACGTTAATACATTGAAAAAATTGAATGAGAATGCTTACAGGTAACGTACGAGTATTTAGAGCAATCATTCTTTTGAGTGATAGCACATTGGGATAAATCATTCACTCGAGCATCACATTTGACATTTCTAGGTATAAACGATTGATGCATCGAAGATGATAGTGACATTGAGCCTTCCACAGATGATGCGGTAGGATAACCAAGTTGTTTACAAATAGTTGTCTTTATTTTGTGCAAAAGACCTTTGTTGCAAATGGTGAAGTTTCGAAACTTGGTAATAACATTCACGACACCTTCATTAGGAAGATTCGAGTGAGACAGGCGTACATCCATAACTACACAAATCAAAATTATTTTTTCCTTTAAATATGATCATGGCGCATATCTTAAAATGAAATCTGTGTTTTTAGAAATGGTATAATCAACATAATTATGTCAAATCCCGTCAATGAATAAAATATATACACTTAGTTTGAATATCAGAAGAACACAGAAGGTGACATTACCTTAAAAAATTATAGTTTGAAAGCACTTAACCAGAAATGTTTTACACATTCTGATGGACACAGTGTCTTATAGATTTACACTTACAGTTCGTAAGCACTGTTTTGATTTTAATTTTAAAGTTGACAATGAACTACAGGCAAATAAGTTGAACTGAGAACTTTACTTTTGCGTTGTAAACACGAGTCACAACAAAATGTGTCTAAGTGATTATGTGAATCATTAATGAAACCAGAACAAATACCGTTTTTTTACAGGTGAGCGCTGTGTTTAGATTCCAAATTCCTATGTATTGTAATAAATATGTCTTTGTATGTATATGCAGTATATATGAAAATTCTGTAGTGGAAATTCATGAAAGTATGAATACAAATGCAATTGAAAATGTCACTTTTGGCCTACATAGAATAGCCAAAAGATTTTAAAAAAAATTGATTTGATAAATCAAATTGACTGGAATAAATAATTTTTCTAAGAACAATATTTGCATGAAGAAACTAAAAAGACAAAATTGTCCAAACCTTTAAACTTAAGCAAAATATTGAGAACACAAGTTTATATGTCACAATATATAAAGACACTAAATTAAACCATACGAAATAAAACTGCATAAACAAACCACACCTGGTGAAGACACCCGACGAAAATTCAAACTTGTTTCAATTTTTCTAAATTGATAACGTACATGGTAGAAAAATAAACACCATACCATTGTGCATTAAGGTCAAATTTTGTCCCGAAGCACTTATATCATAAGCAAAATATAATCTACCTATATATTACTTACGATTGCAAATTTTTCTGTATGGCATACTTGTGTTGTTACATTGATATTCAAAGTAGAGATATTTCTCCAAACCAGGACAAATATTTGAAGGAAAGTGAATATCATCAACCGTTATATTACAATTTCTTTCACCATCACAGTAATTTTTAAGGTCACATGTTACATCACTACAACTGTGGTCATAACTGGAGCCACAAGAGCTTCCTTTACTCAATCCACGATATTCTGCAACTTTTATCACCATATATTGATTATTAGAACAACTTACGTCCGATATATTTTTTCCAGCACATGTCACTGATCCTATAGAAGACACACAAAAAATAAGTAAATACAAAATTTATACAAGTTTATTTGTGAATTCCTATAAAATAAAAGTTGATTTGATAAAAATAAAGTGTGTGATGGCAGTGACTTCACTGGCGCCATTCCTATATCTGTGGCCTTGCAGTGACTTTTAATTAGAGTTTAAGTATATATACGCTAACTGGATGAATATTCTCACTTACCAAAATTGAATCGCTGACCTTTTTCATTTTTACAATTGGCCAGTGTCACGAAGAAATCTCGGTTATTTCTTGGTGCTGCCATACATTTATTATGGCGTGAAAATAATAGACCACCCCAAAATGTTTGGGTTATAGCATTGATGGCTTCGCATTCTCCAGTTATATTTCCATAAGGTGTCAACAAAAGTAATTCGTTGCTGAAACTCTTAAGACAAATTGTATTCAGCTTCATGATTGAGCCAGATTGTAGAAATTTAAATTTAGCATTTATGTCAAAACAATTCCATGAAAGCTTGAAAACAAGTCCTGAATAAATAACACACATTCCTGATTGAACATGTTTGATGAAAAATCCATTCGTATCTGAAAAAGGACAATGATACATGATAAAAATGATTAAAAATACACACTCTATGTAGGTGTATAAAAAATGTAGGTGTACAAAAAAATAGGACGTTTTTTTACAGGTGAGCGCTGTGTTTAGATTCCAAATTCCTATGTATTGTAATAAATATGTCTTTGTATGTATATGCAGTATATATGAAAATTCTGTAGTGGAAATTCATGAAAGTATGAATACAAATGCAATTGAAAATGTCACTTTTGGCCTACATAGAATAGCCAAAAGATTTTAAAAAAAATTGATTTGATAAATCAAATTGACTGGAATAAATAATTTTTCTAAGAACAATATTTGCATGAAGAAACTAAAAAGACAAAATTGTCCAAACCTTTAAACTTAAGCAAAATATTGAGAACACAAGTTTATATGTCACAATATATAAAGACACTAAATTAAACCATACGAAATAAAACTGCATAAACAAACCACACCTGGTGAAGACACCCGACGAAAATTCAAACTTGTTTCAATTTTCTAAATTGATAACGTACATGGTAGAAAAATAAACACCATACCATTGTGCATTAAGGTCAAATTTTGTCCCGAAGCACTTATATCATAAGCAAAATATAATCTACCTATATATTACTTACGATTGCAAATTTTTCTGTATGGCATACTTGTGTTGTTACATTGATATTCAAAGTAGAGATATTTCTCCAAACCAGGACAAATATTTGAAGGAAAGTGAATATCATCAACCGTTATATTACAATTTCTTTCACCATCACAGTAATTTTTAAGGTCACATGTTACATCAACACTACAATTGTGGTCATAACTGGAGCCACAAGAGCTTCCTTTACTCAATCCACGATATTCTGCAACTTTTATCACCATATATTGATTATTAGAACAACTTACGTCCGATATATTTTTTCCAGCACATGTCACTGATCCTATAGAAGACACACAAAAAATAAGTAAATACAAAATTTATACAAGTTTATTTGTGAATTCCTATAAAATAAAAGTTGATTTGATAAAAATAAAGTGTGTGATGGCAGTGACTTCACTGGCGCCATTCCTATATCTGTGGCCTTGCAGTGACTTTTAATTAGAGTTTAAGTATATATACGCTAACTGGATGAATATTCTCACTTACCAAATTGAATCGCTGACCTTTTTCATTTTTACAATTGGCCAGTGTCACGAAGAAATCTCGGTTATTTCTTGGTGCTGCCATACATTTATTATGGCGTGAAAATAATAGACCACCCCAAAATGTTTGGGTTATAGCATTGATGGCTTCGCATTCTCCAGTTATATTTCCATAAGGTGTCAACAAAAGTAATTCGTTGCTGAAACTCTTAAGACAATAAATTGTATTCAGCTTCATGATTGAGCCAGATTGTAGAAATTTAAAATTAGCATTTATGTCAAAACAATTCCATGAAAGCTTGAAAACAAGTCCTGAATAAATAACACACATTCCTGACTGAACATGTTTGATGAAAAATCCATTCGTATCTGAAAAAGGACAATGATACATGATAAAAATGATTAAAAATACACACTCTATGTAGGTGTATAAAAAATGTAGGTGTACAAAAAAATAGGACTTTATTAAAAATATTTTACCATACTGAATTCTATCAATATAGGAAAAAACACTCCAAAAAAAAGCTATCTTTAAATTCAACATTTCTAAAGAATTAAATAAACCAATTGCTGTGGAGAGTCATTTTAAAAATAATGGCGTATGCAATAATTTAAGGCATCCTGCATGGAGCATTGAACTAAAATACATGAAACGTACCTGTAATACAAAACCTAACAATTTTTTAAAGCCGTGATTAAACCCCAGACGCGCAAGACTTTACCCCAGACGCGAGTGTATAGTCAATCATATATTACTCCGTGAGAGAATCTCGAAACACTAAACACGCGTTTCTGATGTAAAATCTCGTGTGTGTGGTGTAGGATATGGCTTCAATTATTTGCTTGATGCAGCGTTCCATGTATTTTAGTTCAATGGCATGGAGACAAAAAATTTACAAACAAGTTGAAAAGTGTAAAAAATCAATTAATACAAATTTTACGTTGCACGGTCTGTTACGATGGAATGAAGAGTGTTATCGTTTGCTTAAACAATTTTAGTGACGTATCGGGTCACCTATAGAATC